TACTAAAAATATTTAATTTCCTAAGTAATCAGAAAAATGTTTAAAAAATAATTTTTAACTCAAATTGACAAAAGTGAAAAAGATGACTAATGCCCAGTATTGTTGAATATATTGGAAAACAGTATTTTAATACTCTATTAATAGGAACATAATTTGTATAGTGTCTTCCTGTTTTGCTTGATCTATAGAAATTTAAGTTACTTATAACCTTTTGTTCAGTATTTTCACTTTGAGAAAGCTACCTCATAGTATTACCAGTATGCAGCCTTCTTTTTGAAAAAGCTGAAAATTAGAAACAATTCTTCCCACATAGTAGAAAAGATGGAGAGGGTACAGTATTATGATTTGGGTCAATGATGGACCTCTCCTCCAAGTTTATGTATCCAAGAAATTGTCTGAAAGTCTACCTGTTAACAGTGATTTTATTGAGAAGAGCGTAAGGATTGGAAAAAGTTGATACTTTTTTTTTTATTATGAGCATGTATTACTTTCGTCATTTATTTAAAATAAACTATTATTTTTTATTGTTTTATTTGCAATAATTACAAAAGTATATACAGCAACAGAAAGTATGTATACTCTTCACTCAGCTTCCCCCAATGGTAGCAATCTTGCTTAACTGTAGCATAATATGAAAACCAAAAGCTTGACAGTAGTGCAATTCAGTTCACACAGCTTACTCAGATTTCATCACAAATGCACTCATTTGCGTGTGTGTGTGTGTGCACGCACATAGCTCTATGCAGTTTTATCACGTGTGTACATTTGTGTAACTACTACCACGATCAAGATACAGGAGTTCCTAGCACTCTGGGAGGCCCAGGTGGAAGGATTGCTTGAGGTCAGGAATTCAAGACCAGCCAGAGCAAGAGTGAGACCCCTTTTCTACTAAAAAAGAAAATAGAAAAAATTAGCTAGGAGGGGTGGTGCACACCTGTAGTCCCAAATACTTGGGAGGCTGAGGTGGGAGGATTGCTTGAGCCCAGGAGTTTGAGGTTGTAGTGAGCTATGATGATGCCACTACACTCTAGCTGAGGTGACAGAGTGAGACTCTGTCTCAAAAAAAAAAAAAAGATATAGGAGTAAGCCATCACCACAAGTATCCTTCAAGCTACTCCTTTATAGCCATGACTACCCCCTCCCCTCCCCAAAATATTTTTAAATTTT